TATATACACGTAATAAATATACGACTTATAATGAAGAAAAAGTATCTACATTTGAAAGCAAACAACAGCAAGAACTAAGCACTAGGGAGTAAACCTAGTTAGATACTTGACTTAAATGATATAAATACGAGTAACAATCATATTTGAACCACAATTATTATCCAAGAACAGCAATTTTGACTATTTTTTCCCTTTTCCATATAATCCTTGTGTTGTGTTAAAATTTGTTCTGCATTTGAAAATAGTCTCCTATATGGAACCGAATAAGCTGCTACAACGCTCAAGTATTTTGAAGCTATTTTTGATAGTCGCAGATATACACTCTTTATTTCTTCCAAATGTTCAACAAATAGATTTTCATCAAATTTTGAAGGGACTGAAAGTACCTGTTTTGAATGGAACAATCTTTTCTTGAGAATTGTCAATCCAAAGCTAGGGTGGATCTTACCTATTTGGTTTTCAATCCAGCAGAGGACTCCATATGTGGCTTTGTTCAATTTAATAAATGGCTTCTTGGAGAAAAATAAACATACTTTTGCATTTATACAAAATTTCAAATAAAATTGTTATTTATTATAATATTGATAAATATCAAAAGAATTAATTCTGAAATTGACAAATATCAATAGAATTAATCCTAACTTCTTAACTTTTTAACATGTTGCACTCTGCAAATATTTCGCTTTCTGTATGCAATGGGAATTTAGGTTGAGGTTGGAAGGCGATACTGGGAAACTTCACAAAACAGTGCTCTTTTCAATCATGGGGTAATTCTTCGTGCAATTAGGGCCAATTGGGTGTTGTGCATTTTGCGCAGCTTTCGCCTTCAGTGAGAACGTTGGGAGCTTTTTCAAAAAACTTCTTACTTTTTTTTATTAATTTTTATACTCTGGTCTGGTTAACAACGAATCAACAACGGGCTATAGTAACTAGAAAAACAAAAAAATCGCCGAAAAACACCAGCATGACCATCCACGCCATGCTTGTTTTTTCGTGACAGAATGCAAAGAACGTAATGAAAATACAAACGTGAACGCCCTCTATTATTAGGAAAGAAAATTATGCAATGGCATCTTCTTTTTCAAATATTTCAAAATAGTTGCGGATGTTTCCGCAACAGTACCTATTGGAGTAGTATTTAGAAGAAAATATCGAAAAAACATCGCGAAAAAATATCGATGTTCTCTAATAATATCGAATAAAAAAAAACATCGATATAAACATCGAAATAAGACAATCGATGTTTTTGAAACATCGGATACATCGTGCGCATCCCTAATCTTGCATGCCATTTGGCCCAGAAGTTCGATTGTCAAACGTCGAGCTCAGCACAAAAATACCTTCTTCTTGGCCTAATTGCATAAATAACTGAGTAGGTATGTATGTATTTTGTTTTGGCCGTTAATTCCTGAGAAGGAAGTGTTATCTAGCTCTAGCTATAATTATAAATTTCTTTGTCGGCATCCTTCTCTTTAAACACTTTTAAAACTTTGTCTAGATTGGGGTGTTTTCGCAACACATTAAAAAAATTGAGTTCACCCTATCAGTCTTATCATTTTCTTTGAAGAGCAAAAACTAAAATAATAGGCTATTATTTTAGTTCTCTTGTATTTACCCACTCCTTAGACATGTTGAATAATTTTTCCAGTGTTGATGGGAAAGCCTCTTTTCAGCATTCCATCTTCACTCCATCACGGTTTGAATTACAAAGGCAATAAGATATAGTATTTTACATTATTAGCCAGGTAAAACAGTTTTTACTGGTGATTGAAGGAAATGACTAGCGAGCCGTCAGGCGAGCTTGTCACCTTCAAGAGCCAGTAAAAACTGATACCTGGCGTATGATGTACAATAATTTATTTGTTACTCATTTGTAAACAATCTTAAATAATAAATAAAAAATTAATACATATAGGTAATACAATTTTAATAAATAATTCTCTGACCCTACTGACTTGTAAAAAGTTTTTACAGTTTAGCTGTCAATTTTACAAGTCAGTAGAACCATTAACTGGTAAAAATCAATTTTCGTTGTTTATATTTTGACTTGATAAATGACGTTTTACAAATGAGTGACAAATAAAAATATTTTATTTGTCACTCATTTGTAAAACGTCACTTATCAAGTCAAAACATAACCAGCGAAAATTGATTTTTACAAGCTACTGGCTCTACTGACTTGTAAAATTGACAGCTAAACTGTAAAAACTTTTTACAAGTCAGTAGAATTATTTATTTTTGAAAAATCGGTTTTATCATAAGAATAATTGCTTGTAGGTACCTTCTGGGAGACTTTTCTGGTGATAAACTGTTGGCTACGACTGAGGCTTCATTAATAATATCTTGTAATAAATTCATTTCTGGAAAAAAATTGCAAAATGGAAATCTGTCAAAAAACCTATTTATAACTAGAAACAACGTCTTAACAACGTATCATTCTCATAGTTATACCAACTACCAAAACTTCTGTGAGAAAAAATCAAGGAAAAACATATAAATTTCAAATTTTTGTTATGTATTGATTTTTTATTTGTCCCTATATCTTTTACAAATGAGTAACACATAAATTATTGTACATTATACGCCAGGTAGCAGTTTTTACTGGCTCTTGAAGGTGACAAGCTCGCCTGGCGGCTCGCTAGTCATTTCCTTCAATCGCCAGTAAAAACTGTTTTACCTGGCTAATAATGTAAAATACTATTTCTACAAACGTGTTAAAAATGCAATTTTTAACACCCCCTCGAAGCATTAAAAATGTTACTTTATTGCACTAGTGTTAAAAGTCTTTAAGGCACTAGTGTTAAAAATGAAACATCAAAATTTGAAAGCAAACGTCAAAAAAAGTTTGTATTTTTAATTATTTACATTAATATTAATGGTAAAATTTGAACAACTGAGGAAGCTCCATCGGCCGCCTCCTCTATATTTTTCAAGGGATTGATGCAACCCTCTTTTTCTTGTGTATTTTGTTGCATTTTTAGCAAAAAGCTTACTGACCACGACAGACTTTCAAGAAACTGACAAGACATTTCATTACCTGTAAAACAAGGTGCTGGTTGTTTGAATTTTTTGACAAATATCAAATTCAATAATTTTACGTAGGAAAGATGCTTCCAATTTATTATTCATTTAAAAATCCAATTTGTCACTGGTTATTGCTTGTTATTGCCGTTTGTAGAAAAAATATTGTATGATATTTGTGTTAAAAGTATTTTTAAGGCACTTATGTGAATTGCAGAATGAGCGAAGCGAACTTTCACATGCGTGCCTTAAAAATGTACTTTTAAACACTTATATCATAAATAACTATTACATACTTAGTTGAAGCGAGTTTAATCTCATCTATTTCGTCTGGTTATGTTGGTATTGAATTTTGCTTCCAAACATTTTAGTTCTCTATTCTCTTCTATGATTTTTCATATTATTGTTTCGTTGTTCGTTATAATCTTGGTTCTTAAACTTGTTAAGCTCAAACCGTAACTTTCCCTCGTATCAATAGGAGTTATAGGTAGAGTGTAAAATTTTTCATATAAGAATCCAGACTCCAATACGAATTGTTGAGCTCTATTTGGAAACGCGTGTATAGTTTCGTGTTTACGACAAAGCCAACTACGACTTAGAAAAACGGATGTTTTATATGAAAATGAGATTTTTAGCTTTTCGCGTGCCTGTTGCCTATAACTTGTCAGTGCCAGGAGCATAATTCCGGTGTCAAGATCGTCACTATTGCTCTACGGGCAAGGTTAAGGCCGTTTTGTTAACTTTTATAGGATATTGACACGAATTACTATGTCTACTATCATTATGGGGTCTTGGCACCAATTTCTTTTTGATAAGACAAAAAAAAATTGAATTTCTAAATTAAATTCAAGTTTAATTTTTCCATTTCCTTTATGGTATTTACCTGGAATTGTAATCTTTGGCACACAATAAATGTTCGTGTCCAATTTATACTATGGCGTTTATTTTTTTTGGCAAATGAGTTCTGTTTGGAATCATTTATATTTAAATCGTGATGTAACGACCGTCTGTTAAATAACTTTTTATTAGTAAATCAAATAAAGTTAATATCTATAATTAGGCAATTATTATACAGGGTGTCCTTAGATAAACTGACACATTTTAGAGGTTAATATCTCGAAAACGAGAAAAGATAACGGGATGCGGTTTTTTCTGGAAGAATAAAGATTTTTTAAAGTTTTTTTTCATGATATTGACGAATCCTGAAATTTGGTTTTACAGACATTCGATTTTTTGAAATAATAACATACTGCCTTATTCTTGATGAAACACCCCAGTATATTTTGTCATCATCAGAAAGCGTGACTTTTCTACTCCACAAGAATGTTTAATTTTTTTCAATTATCATGAAATTGAATCGTTAAAATTGCACTTGGTTGAAGGACGTACCGTCGACTGGACAAAAAAAAAATTATAAGAATTAATTTGTGTTTTAAATGCACTTATTTGTGTTCAATTCTTGTATTATTAGTTAACTATGCCCTAATTAGTTAATAAAAGTATTAAACACAAATTGAATCTCAATTTTTTTTTTTTAGTTAGTCGATGGTATTCCTTTCGACAACGTGCAATTTTCACGATGCAAGTTCAAGATAATTGAAAAAAATTATACATTTTTGTAAAGTAGAAAAATCAGGCTTTCTGACAATGACAAAAGATACGGGGTGTTTCATTAAAAATAAGGCAGTTATTTTATTTCAAAAAATCGCATGTCTGTAAAACCAAATTCCAGCAAATTCAGGATTCGGCAATAATGTGGAAAAAAAACTTTGAAAAATCCCTATTCTCACAGAACAAACCGCATCTCGTTATCTTTTCCCGTTTTCGAGATATTTACCTACAAAATGTGTCAGTTTATCTAAGGACACCCTGTATTATGCATATTATTAGGTTTGTTCATCTCATTGGCTCTAACTTGTCTAACAATGTTCATTTGATGATTATTCAAGTCTCTTGTTTCTTTTCCAGCTTATTTTCAGTGGCGAATACACGAAAGCGATGAACAAGGATTGGCACGGTCAACATTTCTGCTGTTGGCAGTGCGACGAAAGTTTGACCGGACAACGCTACGTTCTGCGTGACGACCACCCCTACTGCGTGTCCTGTTACGAGTCAGTCTTCGCTAACGCTTGCGAAAAGTGCAGTAGGACGATTGGAATCGATTCGAAGGTAAGAAGAGTTTTCATATTCAAGTATGATGTCGTCAAGATTCAAGATTATCTTTTTCAGGATCTTTCTTACAAAGACAAACATTGGCACGAGGCCTGCTTCTTGTGCACCACCTGCACTGAATCTCTGGTAGACAAACAGTTCGGTTCCAAGGGTGACCGTATCTACTGCGGCCGTTGCTACGACGATCAGTTCGCTTCCAGGTGCGATGGGTGCCATGAAATCTTTAGAGCAGGTAAGTCAGAGCAACTATTAGAATAGGGTGATTCAGCTTGAGGTAGCTGATATTTGACATGTGTCATTGCTGATATTTGACTGAGTCATCACAATTAAGTCATTTTATATATCTGAAATTGGAAAATGGAAGAATCATTAATTTTCCGTCTGGTCAATCTCCATTGAATCCAGCAGTGTTGCTGAGTTAGCCTCATGTGATATTATGTTCGGATTATTATAGTCTATTCTGCAGAGATGTAATAGATCATTGTTCCCAGATCCAAATTTCAATGTGTGGCTAGCCTCACAAACTTTTTTCATTAAATGTATGTCTGCATTTTTCATGCAGAGTGGTCGTTAACGTTTAGTTCTTCCAGTTTCTTATTGCATCTTTTTTTATTTATTATGTTCAAGTACACTGAAGAAAATAAAGCTAAATAATGATATTGTAGCAAAACGCCCCAAGTACTCTATTTAATTAGTTAGATGGTAAATGACGAGCGGTATATTGATGGTGTTTCTTTCCTTGAAGCTGCTACCTATAAAATTGTGGAGGGGTCTATTCGCGAAAGAGAGAAACAAACTGTTGAGGTTTACTAAATTATATTTTATTATACTTAAGACCAAAAATTTAAATAAGCAAAATATCTTTCTATTCTGACAGTCACTTCTATTTTTCCCAATTCAAATTGTTTCACATCCGTTCAAATTTCATTATTACGGACCAGGAAATATCCATACAAAAAGAAACGCCCTACTTCTACTATTCTCAATAACTTATAAGTTTGTCCATTACAACACATCCGATTCACATTCCTATTAAACTACCCTTCACCTATATCTATAACTTCTTAAAAATTCCCAAGTCCTTTATACAAACTAATTATTTAAGTCATAATCCGACTCACTATATTTTTATAAAAATCTTACAATAAATTCTACATAAAACAAAACCTAATTCAAAATTTCATCACTTAAGAAGATTATCAATACTTCTAATGATTATCGACAGCAATTTTATTTCATGAAGAACAACAAGTTGCTTTTCGAAATTTCCATTTTATTTAATGGTTTATTTAATCAGAACAATTACTGTTTTCGGATTCCTAGCCAATAAACACAATTATTTAATCAATACCTCCTACTCAAAATCGCATATTGTTAGGAGCATTATAATTTTCCCCTTGTTAATTCTTTGCAAAATTGGATTAAAATGTCATTATACTCGAGAGGGCAATTAAGGTTATGCCATAAATTTTTTAAAGTCAAATCACTCAAGTTTTTATGCATTAAGAGTCATTGTCAATTCACTTCCTATCATTCAGAATCATTGTTAAAAGTCAGAAATACAATAATAATCACTAAAGTACTTACATTTGAATTGTCACTCGATAAAATAATTTTAATTACTGAAAAATTTCTAGAGCTCGCACATAATATTGAACGCCTTTAAATGTTCTTTCTTTCACAATTTTCCGTACTTTTTCTAAGTTAAAGTAAACCCGAAGCAAAAATAAAAGAAACTCTCGCGAATTTTTATCCGGACTGACACATTAGGTACTATAGACTTTAACTCAAACTGGACTGAACTGCGAACTGATGATCTCCACTTCTAAAACCGCTGTATTTATGTTTTTTCGATTCCCCCCCCCCCCCCCCCCCCCAAAGTATTATTAAGTATCCACCAAAATCGACAATAGGCGGTCGTTTGACCATCAATAAGTCAATTCTATTGGTCGACCTAGATATTATCAAAGGATGATGATGCAATCTATTTGAATTTTTTGTCATTTTTATTTGTTTAAATCGGATAATCATGTCGCAATTTCCTGGTTTATACGGGTCAACAAATTTTGGTTCGAGAATGTGAGGACAACACAAAGAAGACCGACACACGTGAACCATAAATCACCGATTTAATTACTTTGGCTTCATTTTTAATAAGTTCATTCATTTGATTTTAGGAGATGACATCACGCTTGGTGACTAAATAATAGAATTTTAACGTATATAAATATTTTAATTTAATTTGGGGTCAACGCTAATTTGTTTCATTTTCAATTTATCGATAAATATATACATGTCGTTTTAGAACGTCTTTCTTCGTTGTCCGACACCTAATTTCCATCCTCTTCTATCGTCACAATCCTCTGATGAGAGATTTCTTTCACTCATGGACTTTTGTATGGTCTTCTGCCATTCCAGTTTTGTTCTTCCTCGTTTTCTTCTACCTTTGGTTGCCATTGCAGAATTTTTCTGTGCCACCTGTCATTTGGCATTCGTTCTACGTGTCCGTACACTTACCTGGTACGGACTGTTTCTTTTCAATGTCCTGGACTATCGTACCTTCTATACCCATTTGTTGTTTTATATTGTCGTTTCTTATTCTGTCTCTTCGTGAGATTCGCACGGATCTTCTAATAGCATCCATTTCAACTGCTTCCACTTTTTTCTTTTGTCTGTCTGTTATTCTCCAAGTCTCGGCTCCATATAGAAGGCTGCTCTTTATCATTGTCTCGTATATATTAAATTTTCTGTTCTTTGTAATTTCCTTGCTCCATAATATTCCATTTAGGCATCCTATTACTTTTTTAGCTTTAACTATTCGCTTTTCTATTTCTTTCACGTCTGTTCCGAATGTGATACCTAGATACTCATATTCTTGACATTGCAGAATTTCTTGATCATCGTCCACTTCCAAGTTTCCGTTCTGGTTGCCTACACATAGATATTTTGTTTTATTTATATTAACTCTCAGGCCCCATTCTGAATACTCTTCTATCAGCTTTCTAATCATATATTGCATGTCCTCTTTGTCACTAGCCACTATGACCTGATCATCTGCAAACTAAAGAGTAAACAGGCACTTACCATTTATCTCTATTGCTAATGCTAATGCTAAGTATATTTTAAAAAGCCTAGGAGAGATACAACATCCTTGACGTAGTCCTTTATTTACTATAAATGTGTCTGTGAGTTTTTTACCTATCTTAATTCTTGATTTTGAGTCTTTATATAGTTCTTTAAGTGCCATTATGTAGGTGTGATTGATGTTTGTGTGTTCTAGTACCTTCCATAGTCTGGATACTGGGACTGTATCGTATGCTTTTTGGAGGTCAGCAAATGTGTGGTGGGTTTCCAAATATCTAGCAAATCTCTTTTCTATGACTTGTTTTAGGCAAAATACGTTGTCGGTACCTGATCTTCCTGCTCTTAAGCCACACTGCTCTTCTTCTTCTTGCTCTTTATAATCTTCTTCAATGAGATCACGCAGGATTCTACCGTATAGTCTGCTTAGTGTGCTTGTGACTGATATGCTCCGATAGTTATTGCAATCCAGCTTATTTCTTTTTTTGTGAATCGATGGTATAAAAGCCGTTTTCCAGTCTTTTGGAACAGGATGTCCATTTAGGCATTTATTGATAATACATGTGAGACCTTTAAAGAGCTTCTCAGTTCCCCATTTCAGCATTTCTGAGGATATCCCTTCTGGGCCGGTAGTTTTACCTGACTTAAGATTCTTACCAGTCTTTTTTACTGTTTCTTCAGATATCTCAACTACTTCTCCATGTACTTTAATATGTCTTGGAGAATCTAATATATATTCCGGTCTACTTTCTTGTAATAGACCCTTATAATGTTCTACCCATTGCTCTGGTTTAATAATCTGGATATTAGCTCTGTCTTTTCCTGGGTTTTTGACATTTGATATAAATCTCCATACCTCTGAGCATTTCCTTCCTCCTATGTAGGTGTTAATTTTTTCACATTTCTTATCCATCTTTTTGTGCCTTTATAAACTTCAAGGTCTTGTTAATTTTTTGTTGTTAGCCATTTCAGATATTTTTGCTTCTTGTGTTGGACTAATAGCTCTATCTCCTCGTTCCACCAGTATTTCTTGTTGGTATTTTTTTCCTTCGTTCCTATTGCTTCTTGGGTGGCTTCTATTAGACTCCTTATAATATTCTCATGTAAAGTTTATTCAAGGTACATTCTTCAGGGTTCAATAGTTTGCTATCGAGTCGCCTCTGATATAGAAATACAGTGCTGTTATCTCTAAAACTGTCGAAATTATAATTTGTTGTATCCACTGGGTCCGTTACTATGGCATTAATGCTTTGTTCCTCTGGGTTCTTGTTCGTTTTCCTTAATTGCAACTTTATTTTGGCTCTTAAGGCCGTTTTACAGCTTGCAAGAAAACTTGAATGCAATTTTTTGCATGCAAAAAAATTGTATTCAAGATTTCTTGCACATCGTTTTACACCTTGCAATTTGACTTGATTCTTTTTCTAGCCTTAACCATACTGTTTTTGTTTTTATTGTTGTGTTGCTGATGTTTGCATTTTCCAAAAATAAAAAAAGTGATTATAAGTCGATATAAAAAGAAGAAAGCAATAGCAGCAACTTTAAGCATCATAATTGCTGAAAATTCCCAAGCTTGCACGAAAACCTTCAAGAAAAATGGCACCAAGCCGATTGCATGCAATGCCATTCAAGTTTCAAGAATCTTGCAGAAACCAATCAGCGGACTTACTTCTGCGCATGCCCTGGTTCAAGTTTCTTGCATATTGCAGATAGAATTGCACGCTGTAAAACGGCCTTTACTAAAAAATTATCTGACCCGCAAGTTATTCCTCTTAGGACTCTTACGTCGTTTATCTCTATGTTTGTTTTTTGTTTGCTTATCAGATAGTCAATAATAGTTTGCAGGTTACGGAAATTCTGTATCCATGTGTAGCGGTGAATATCTTTGTGTTTGAAAAATCCATTATTTATTCTAAGATTGTGGGTCTCACAGAGATTTTTGAGCCTTTGGCCATTATCATTGATTATTTCTTCTCCAAATGGTCCTACAACTGAGCTATTGTTCGTCCTTCCCGTTCTTCCATTGAAATCCCCTAGCATTATGATTTCTCTATTTCTTCCAATATCTACTAGGACTTCATCCAATTTGTCAAAGAACTCCTGCTTAATGACGACTCTTTCGTCCTCTGATGGAGCGTAGGCTGCTATAATGGT